GATAGTCCCCCCCGCCCGCCCGCGCCGCGGGCGCATCTCGCCCCCCCCGCCACTCCCGCCGCCCACATCCTCCTCATGGTCCGCAATAATATCTCCGCAGCCTGTAAGAGAGTCAAAGCTTTTCAGTGAAGTCACGTCAGCAAACATCAAACAAATACGATCAATCGATTGCTCTGAGGGTGGATCAACAGAGGAAGGGTCAGGGGCGGCTGCCGTCTCTTGACCGCTATCACAGTGAGGTTCAACAGGGGGGATAGTCGTTATTGGAATGTCACCTGTTATGGCCGCATCCTTCGCAGTCCCAACCTCTCCGGCGCCCGGGTCCTGTCGCTCGCGGCAGAGCTCCTCGGGTCGCCTTCCAGCGGCGGCAGGGTCCTCCCCGGGGAGGGGGCTGCTGTCCCGCGACTCCCCACCTCCCGCTTCGGGCTCCTCGGCCGAGGCGTGCGCCTCGCCGCTGCGCTTCTCCCGCGGCGGTTCCAGCCCGATGTCTCCTGCGCTGTTCGGAGTTTCAGACAAAGGTTTTGGCGTCTCCTCTTTGATGCACTCCAGGCTGGCAGTCAAAGACCCCGGCATAATAAGACCCGACTGAATCTCCGAGGTTTCCCCCCTCTCCTCCTTGCCATTTTTGTCCTTTTTATGCCATCGCATGCTGCTGAAGATCCCTTTCAGCCCCTTCTTTTGTCTGCCGCCAGCCCGCTGATCCGCGCTCTCCGCCTTGCCGTTCTCCGGCCTGCCGTTCTTCCTCAGCAGGGAGAAGAAGCTGTGCGACTTGGCCACCGAGCTGCCGGGGGAGACGCCGAGGCTGCCGGCCGGCCGGCCCTGCGCCTCCTTGCTCTGCGGGTCGCCGCCGCCCGGTTCCTCCTTCTTGCTGCTCTCCAGCACGGCGTCGGCCAAGCCGTCGTGCGTCCGGCTCCGCACCATCCCCGCTTTGCTGGCGCCCTTCCCCTCCCCGCCTTTGCTCCTCACCCCGAAGATGCTCGGCATGGTGCCCCCGGATTTCCTCCTCTTGAACAGTTTGAAGGCGGTTTTGTTAATCCTCCCCGACGGCTGCTCGGCGGCCGGAGGCTCGGCACAGT